TCACACTGTCTACCGGGCAATACCTCTATTTCTTTATATGCCTCTACTTCAGGCACAGTTATCTTAACATTTTATGCGCTGACTAATGGTAGTCAGCCGTTCTTCAAAGTTTTCCCTCTGTACAGCGAGTGCAGAGGAAACAGCACTCTCTATTAGCGCTTTCAGCGGGCGACTGTATACTCGAAAAAGCAATGTTGCCAGTTTCTCTCATTAAACCATATTCGAATCGTGGAAATTTTGGAAGATCACAGGGTTGCTTTTAGCATTTAAATTCTTAATGCAAAAATGGAGTTGCATTTAGTTGCATTTAGGTGCCGAATTTTGTATGGATAAATTTACTTTTAGAGTAGCATTTAGAGCTAAATGCGCTAAATGTGCTTTTACGCATAAGCAAAAACAGCCCATAAGTACTATTAACTAGAGGTTACCCATGGTGAAACGAATACTATTTATCGGTCTTGGAGTTTACCCTACTTCAAACAATTTCGTTTCAAAACTATCGAATGACAAAAGTATCGATACGGTAAGTATCGTTTCGAAATTCGTGTCTCCAGCTTTGTTTCAGTTTGAATTTTACGTTCGGCGTTTTGATTTATTTGATATAATTTGCAATGGAAGTTTATGAATTTGATAAGTGCTTACTCGATCGCTTGGAGGAATCCATGAGTGTTTTATCGTGGAAAGATGAAGTAATTCCCGCAACACAAGTTCGTTCCGAGTGGTCGTACTATATTGAACTCCAGATCGAGCCAGCAGGTAGATATTCATTTTGAGTTGCTTCCCAATTTTTTTTCAGAAATCCTGAGTTTAACCCTTAGGTTGGCAAGCGATTTGGAAGATTCCTCGTGTAATATGTGAAGAGCTACATATCCGCTATCCAACTGTAGTTTTTGGTTGCGTTGAACAGGTTCTTTTCAAGGATTTAAAAGCTATCCTCATTATACAAGCAGTTCAGGAGGAAGACATTCATCTTCCGGAAAGGCACGAAGTTTTCTTGGAAGATCTTTGGCCGACGAAGCAACAGGAAAATGCTGAGTTAAACATAGAGCGAACTGCAGACTGTGTTGACCGTTTACGTTTCTTTTATACACATGTTTGGATGCCATGGGACAACGATAATGATGACGACCTTAATTGGGTGGAAAAGCATTTAGAGTCACGTATTCGATTCTGCTACGACTTGCGGAAACGAACAATTAAGCGAACATTGGCAGCGCATGTTCGCAAATTACTTGCCGAATCCAAATATTTGCAGCAACGGCGGGAGTACCTGGAAATAGGACTAACGGATGAAGATGAAGGGAGTCCCGAAGAAACCATTAGCAAAACTGAGGTAACTGATCTAATGAGATTACATTTGCGGCTAGCTATGATCCGCAACGAAATAGAGTTATTGGAAAACCCTGAAATGCGCCGGATATACCAAGAAATAAAATTCCCAGAAGAAAAATATTTCAAAGGGAAAAAGTATACTGAGGCTATACATAAAAAAAAAAGACGAGCAAGTTTTTATTGTTATGATGCCATACACAATTGAACAACAAATTGATCTAATGCATATTGCAAAGAAGTGCATTTCAACCAATGCTCTGGTTCAAAATGCTTATACTCTACAGGTATACTTCTCATCTAAACTGGAAAATTACTTTATTATGATTTTGTATTTTAGGATGTTTTAAGCACCAGTTGTAACTATGACTGCATCTATCTTTCGCCCGGTCGTCATACTGTTAGGTTTCTAGAAAATATGAATGAGGACGCTAAAATTTCCGGAATAAAAGTTGCTGGAGAAAAGCTTAGCACGCAAGATTATTTTTCAAAAGCCAATGTGGTAATATCTTCATCGGATGATGACAGCATTCTCTTTGTCTTCGACGGCTCCTTTACTCTTGAAAACGTTGTTATGGATTGTCGCAAAGTGCGTACTGGAATTGTAGCAAAAAATGGTACCGTATATATTCGTAATTGCACTTTAATAGGCGATGGAAAAACTAGTACACAACAGGGGATTATATGCAATAGGGGTGCTTCAATTATTCTGGATGAATGTACTGTAGAACGGTTTGCAACGGGAATAATTGTAATGGATGAGGCGGAGTTGCGTTTAAATAATTCAAAAGTCATTAACTGTAAGATTGGCATCGATTTGAGCACTATTTCAAAGTCTCATTTTAATCATTCAAAAATAACGAACTCGCAAAATAATGGGATATATGTGGAGACTGCTTTTGAAGGACAAAACCACAAAAGTAAAAGTACAATATTATGTACCCTAAAGGAATGGGAAAGGTAAATTAAAATATGTTAAGTTATTTTAATGTCTTGCAATATTTTTTTATTAACAGCCATTTAAACTCAAATCCGCCTTTTATTGGAGAGTGCGAATTTAGAGGCTGCAAAGTCAACATCTTCGCTTTAAATGTGGGGAAGTCGTTGTTATCAAAAAACACACTCAACTATTTAAGAGATGCTGACACTGTATTCGAAAGTCCTAGTAATGAATTACCAGCGAGTGGCTCTCGAGACACCAGCAAATCTTTTTAAAACTAAAGTAAGTTTTTTACCCGGTATGATATTTAATTGACGCGTATTTTTGTATAATTTACAACCAATAAAAATATCTTTTTAACCGTCCTTGAATACTTGTATTAAACAATGGAACACCAAATTGAATAGGTAATAGCAAAAACAACAAGCTGTTCACTTCTGAGTAGAGTCCGACCGAAGCCGAACAGAACGTTCGGTTTTGATCTAACATTATGCCTATTACCGAAGCCGATGATTTACTTTAAAATTTAGTAAATTTGTTTTTTCACAGAATAAGCTCCATTTTGCCTTTTTAAGTGTACATAAAATCATCGTATATACTTACAAGTATGGAATCCTATGCCCCTTTTTATACCCGAGCGCACTTGTGCACAAGGGTATTATAACTTTGTTCATATAACGTTTGTTTGTAACAGGCAAAACGAATCAAGGTAGATATAGACAAATGTATACATAAATGATCAGAATGAAAGGAGAAATCGATTAAGCGGTGACTGTGTCCGTCCGTCTGTGCACACGATAACTCGAGTAAAAATTTAGATATCTTAACGAAACTTGGTATGTGAACTTCTTTCCGGCGTAGGACGGATGGTATTGAAAATGGGCAAAATCCGACAATAACCACGCCTACCTCCCATATAACGGTAATTTTCAGAAATACGAAAACTGCGATATTTTAGTAACTACTGAAGATTATTCACTAAAAATTAATATTTACAATTTTTAGACAAAAACTAAGAATATTATAAATTTTTGGAAAATGGGCGTAGCCACGCCCACTTATGGTTACATGTGTATATCTTGGTAACCGCTGCACCAATTTCTTCCAAACTTGGCATAGTTGTTAGTCTTGCTACGGCATACCAAATGGCGGAAAATTTTTAAAATCGGACAATAACCACGCCTACCTCCCATATAACGGTAATTTGGAGAAATACGAAATCTTGGATAAATCAATAAATATTAAAGCTAATTTACTCAAAATTGATGCTTGCAACAATTCTTTACCAGGAAATACGTTTATGATAAAGTTTTGGAAAATGGGCGTGGCACCGCCCACTTACCAATTTGTACCAAACTCGGTATGATTATTGTGCTTGCCACATAGAAGCAAACGGTCGAAAATTATTGGAATCAGATTAAAATTACGACCACTCTCTATATAACGGCAAATTTCAGAAATGCTTGAAACTTCAATATTTCGAAATTTAAGGACGCTAATTTACTCAAAATTGATACACACTTGCTTAGCATGTAGCGGTAGCTTTCGGAAAGGTGAAAATCATATACTTAGTACCTGCGCCGGGTATTTAATGTTCGGCTCCGCTCGAACTTAGACTTTCTTACTTGTTGTCTATTCTCTTTCTAACAGCGGATGTGCCTGCCAAACTGAAAAGCATGATGGCGGCAGTGTTTGACAGGCGCGTTCGACGATGCGAACGGCAATGGAAGGTAAGAAATGGAAGATGGATGACATGAGAATGAAAGAATTATGAAATAGCAGAATGCCGAACCAAAACAAATTTCAAAAATCTGACAATGCGAATGACGTCAAATGAATGAAATGCAAAATAGCGAAATGTCGAAACAGAAGAAATAGATGACAGGCACGTGTTCAAGGGTTTCGTGCAACAAAAAGAGTTCTTGTGTTGCGCCATTCAATATTACAAAAATTTTAATGTGGTTAAATACGCTTTTTTATTAAGTTGAAAAAACTACATTTTTCGCCAGCCAAAAAGTGTATAAATAAATATATAGCATCTTGCTATAAGATTTATTTATAAAAACGATATATGCTTATGACCTTATTCATAAAAAATAAAATGGATTTAAAGAGCTCTCTCTATACAGTAACATTAAAAACAAATAGATTTGTTTACTTTTTAAGAATTTTGATATAACATTTAACTTAACTGTTTGTGCACTCATCTCTTTTTCTCTTTATTATTCTCAAATTTTTCTTTTCCTTAATAGTCATTTGACGGAGTTTCAATTACACCCAGTAAAAATCATGATAAAAACATTAGAAAGTAAAACCATTCTCAATTCGTCGGCCCTGATTTTTTTCTGACGTTTGCAAACATTTTAAATCATATAAAATTCAAAATAAAAGAAGGAAATTGTTCACAATTGTTGTTGTTTGAGATCAAAAATGAGAATGTGTGTGTGAGCTTGAGTTCGAATTTTAAAATTATATTGCTGGCAAACGTCAGACTGTCTCTCAATGATTTTACCGTGTCATGTTTTTATCATGGTAAAAATCAAAATATTTTATAAGAAATTTGTTGACCGTTTTACAACGGTATTTAAAGCTTTTTGTGTTCAAATTGAAAAGATTTCCTCCTTCGCACACTTCTCTCATGCTTTTTTATCGTAGTTTTTATTCTGTTGACATCTAAATTGCCATACATTTTATGTCGTTGCCAATACATTGTTTTCCGGCGTTTCCTCTGTGAACTTTTATAACTACATTCATAAAAATATTACTAATTTTGGTTTATAATTTATTTCCATCTTGCTATTGCTGAATATCAAAAAGGAATTAATAAATAATAAAAAGTTACAATTTTAGTGAATGGTTCTTGACAATAATAATAATTTGTGGTTGAAATTACTTGCAGACTGAAGGAAAAATAGTTGTTCATTAACGATTTGTCCGAAATATCGTTCTTGAAACGCGCTACTGCTCACTAAATTTGTAATATTGACTGTCAACCTGTGCGGACGTGTTTTTTAATCGCTTCGCCGAGAAATTATTAATAATTCACGTAAAGCAAAAAAAAAACAGAACCAACGCGAAAAGACAATACTAGGAATAAATAAGCTTTCTGCTTATTTGCCTATAATTATAAATTACTTTTTCAGAATTTTCGCAATGCCGCGAGAAATTCAAATAAATGTGCCAACATACAATAAAATAAAAGCAGCTCCGGCCCCACCGCGTTTACCGAATAGTAGTGAAACAAGCACCAAGTGCAGTGAAATAAACCTTGCCGTAACAGAAGCTGACCAAAAGCATTCAGCTGATCGACGAAATGCTTACTTTTCGTTCGTTTCCCCCACAAACAATGCTGATCGCGATAAATCGTTCTCTCCCTCCACCCAAACACCTTGGCATGCCCAGTCGCCAATGTCTCTGGTAGACCAAGTTGTTCTAACGCAACAACAAAGCACTAGCTTAGCAACAAGCACAGTAACAACGGTAAGCGCAGCTCTCACAACAACGACTACAACCACGACTTCAGCAATGACAGCGGTTTCACAACGCAGTTCACCCACACCTGCACAAACGGAAATTTCGGCACCAGTACAAGCCAAGCAACGCAGCTCAGCGCAAGTTGACCTACTTAATCCAACAACCCGCACATTGACTCAAACGGGTATTGATAGGTATATACAAGTCAAACGAAAATTAAGCCCACAGCAGCATTGCAAACCCATCAAAAATTGCAAAAACGAAAACCACTGACATTAACCCTCTACTGGGAAATAAGTTTGCGATTCTGGACAATGAATGTGACAAAGAGCCGAATGAAGTTTCTAAAGCCAAACCCAAACCGCCCCCAATTTATTTACGAGAGCAAAACTGTAGTGAGCTCGTGAATAAATTAACTCAGCTTATTGGAGACAATACTTTCCACGTAACATCAGTTACCAAGGGCAATATTAAAGAGACCAAACTTCAGATTCTAACTGAAGAAAATTACCGGTTGGTAACCAAACACCTTAATGAAGATAAGAAAAACTTGTATACGTACCAGCTCAAAGGCAGCAAAGGACTGCAAGTAGTAATAAAAGGTATAGAATCAAGTGTACCCATTGCTGATATTGCTCATGCTCTAGAGAAGGCAGGATTTTCTTTTAAAAATGTTGTCAATATTATCAACAGAGCAAAAATCGCTCAACCTATGTTTAAGGTAGAACTTAAGGCAGAAACAAAGCCAATGAATAAAAACGCAGTGCACCCAATCTACAATCTACGATACCTTCTACACCGAAGAATAACAGTGGAGGAGCCGCACAAGCGAAACGGTCCAGTACAGTGCACAAATTGTCAAGAATTTGAGCACACCAGAACATACTGTACCTTGCGCCCAGTGTGTGTTGCCTGTGGCGACCTTCACGCTTCCGCTTCTTGCAAGGCTATCAAAGATGATGTGGCTGTAAAGAAACGCAGTAATTGCGGAGGTAACCACACCGCCAATTATAGGGGATGCCCTGTATACAAAGACTTAAAGTCTCGCATGAATCAGCGCAACACAGCCGTACGCTCTTCCACCACTCCAACTAGCTCTTATACATACCAACAACTCACGCCATCAACCACTACACTAGGGGCCTTTTTTGCCAATGCGCAGCGAGTTCCCAACGTTTCTTTTGCCGACGCGTTAAAACTACAAACGCAGCCAAGCACGGCGAAATAAAACTCCTATCAAGAAACATTTGCAAATATTCAAAGGAATAATACTGAGCAATTGCAGCCGAACCCCCCTACTTGTGGCATAGAAGGAATGATATTGAATCTTACTCATTGTATGACTCAATTCATGTCTACTATGCAAAATATGATTCAAGACCTCATTAAGGCTCAAAACCAATTGTTGTAAATTTTAGTGAATAAAAAATGAGTGAATTGAAAACTTGCTTATGGAATGCTAACGGTGTAAACCAGCGTAGATTAGAACTCAGTCAATTTCTCACTGAATACAACATAGATGTTATGCTACTGTCCGAGACACATTTAACAAATAAATATAATTTCTCCATACCTGGATACAAATTCTATGCCACAAATCACCCAGATGGTAAAGCTCATGGAGGCACAGCGGTGCTGATTAGAAATCGTCTAAAGCACAATATTCTAGAGTCAAAAGCAACAGCCTGTCTGCAAGCAACTACCATATGCTTACGAAACCGCGACCGAGACTTGAATCTATCGGCTATTTATTGCTCACCGCGATTTTTAATTTCTGAAAATGACTTTAAAGATTTATTTGAGCATACGTACTGGGTATCACGCCTTATTAACCCAAAAGGGCGGCAACTATACAATACCATTAGAAACAGGCTCAATAGACATCTCCTGTTAAACCTACTTACTGGCCTACCGATATAAAGAAGATACCAGACCTAATAGATTTCGCAGTTACAAGAAACATATACAGAAATAACATAACAGCAGAAACTCTACCTGAACTATCATCCGATCACTCCCCTATATTAATAAAACTATATGAACAGACCCAAAATATCGAAATTGAGCCTCGTCTAACTTCAAATAACACCAACTGGCTTAAATATAAAAAGTACATCAGTAGTCACCTTAAATTAAACGCTGCACTTAGACTCCCTTGTTGAACATTTTAAAGAAACCTTTACTTCAGCCGCTGGCCTGGCAACACCAAATCAAGTCCAAGTACCACCTACGCATACATCAGTTACAAATACCGAAATAGAAAAACTTGTGGCAGAAAAGCGGCGCATAAGAAAACAGTGGCGGAGCCATCGCTCACCAACCTCACAGCTACTGTATAAAGCTGCCAGTAGAAAACTGAAACAAGCACTCAAACGTGCAGAGGATCGTAACTTGCAAAGGTACATTAAGAAGCTTTCCCCGAATTCTACTGAAAGATACTCTCTATGGAAATCGCTAAAATACTTCAAACCACCAGTGGCTACAGAAATGCCAATTAGGAACCAATGTGGAGCCTGGGCTCGTAGTGAGCAGGAGAGAGCCGAGTGTTTTCACACCATTTAAAGAATGTGTTTCAGCCAAACTGTCCAACGAACAACTTCAGGCTGCCACGGCTAACCAAAAATACAAATGAGCTATACACACCTAGCAAGACGAACTCTTTAGAAGTAAAAGCTATAGTAAAGCAGCTTAATCCAAAGAAATCGCCGGGTGCTGATTTTATATCTCCGAAAATGCTAATAGAGCTACCGAATGTTGCACTAGCAATTCTTTCAGACCTTTTCAACGCTATCCTCAAATTCGGTTACTTTCCGAAATCATGGAAAAGGTCGAAGATAATCATGATAGCCAAACCTGGAAAAGACGCAACACAGCCGTCCTCATACAGACCAATAAGCTTACTGCCCTGTCTTTCCAAAGTATTCGAAAAAGTACTCCTATCAAAGATATCTCCCTTTCTCCATGAACGCAATTTAATATCAGCACACCAATTTGGCTTCCGAGAAAAACATGGTACAATTGAATAAGTTAATCGAATTACAAATGAAATCAGAAGGGCATTTGAGCTCAGAGAGTACTGCTCTGCAATTTTTCTCGATGTGGCACAAGCATTCGGCAAAGTGTGGCACGACGGTCTTATATATAAAATTAAAAAATTGTTGCCGCCACAAAATATTTGAATCATACATAACTAACACAAAATTTGCTGTTAAAGTATCGTGTACTCGGGCCTATGCTGTATATCATCTACACTTCAGATATTCCAACTAGCAAGAATATACTCACATCCACCTTCGCTGATGATACCGCCTTAGTAAGTCGTAATAAATGTCCCAACAGAGCTTCAAGAGTACTAGAGGAACATTTACTACGCATAGAAGAATGGCTGGAAAACTGGCGCATAAAAGTCAACGAACAGAAGAGTAAACATACAACATTTTCACTCAGACCGCAAGTATGGCCCCCAATCAAATTAAATAATGTCCATATTCCACTAGCCAATGAGGTGACATATCTAGGAATACACTTGGATAGGAGACTAACTTGGCGCAAACACATATCAACCAAGATTACACAAATGAAGCTAAAGTCAGCTAGCATGAACTGGCTTATAAACAGTAAATCAAAACTGAAACTAGATTATAAAGTACTTGTATATAATACAGTGATCAAGCCTATATGGATGTATGGTATTCAACTGTGGGGTACGACCTGTGCAACCAACATTGACAGGATCCAAAGATTCCAATCTAAAACGCTAAGGGCCTTAACGGGAGCACCGTGGTAGGTCCGCAATGATAATATACATAGAGACCTTGGTAAATCTGTAATCGACAGCAGCAGAGAAAAATACAAAATAAAACTGCGTAACCACCCAAATCCACTGGCAAGTAGCCTGTGCAACACAACAAATATAACACGCCTGCGAAGAAGAGATCTACCAGCCTTTAATTGAGCGACGTTAAACCAACTGGGCTCAACCCCAGGGTTTGAGCTACATTATTGTAAAATTAGACGTAAGATTTTTAAACTTGTTGTTAGGCTTAATAGATGTAAAATAAGCAGATCCAACAAATAAATGCAAGTCTAATTTAAAAAAAATAATAAATAAAAATTTGTAAAAATCAAAATCTTTTCACTTAATTATGGTAAATTTCCACATCATCACAGCAGCTGGCTGTCAAACCGAAACCAAAAAAGATACCAGAACATTCAGGGCGCAATCTTCTTTTCTATGATTATTGTACTGCGACTTTGAATTTCTCAATTTTGACAATTCTGATCTAAAAGTAAACGAAACCTCAGAAACTCTAAATGCACTGCAATTCACTAATACCTACTTCCGCAAAAATCACCCTTTTAAAAAGCTTTTTAAATTGCCGTTTGCAAACATTTTTCAATTTATAAACCTTTTCTAAAGCTACTTTAGTTTTTATGTATAAGGCTATTAGAATTTAGCACAATTAAAACACGTTCCCTATCGAAAAATTGATTATTAAGAAAATTGGCTGTTCTCACATTTTCTTTCAACATCCAATTCGACTTTGTTTACTTTTTGTATAGATATGTCATCGCCGCCAGGACGGCGCAATCTTATACATAAGGGTTGTTCGTCGAAAATCCAGCAACAATTATCCAACACACAAAATATTAGAGAGTAAGAAAAAATGCTCTCAAATTCTCTCTCATGTTGAGAAACTTGCAAATTTCTGCACGAACGCAAATTTGCAGGAATTTGCAAGTTTCCCTGCCAGCTGGTGTCCACGGTTGCATTTCAAACATACACATTTTTTATAGAATTTTTAAAATTCTTTCGGATGGCCAAAAACAGAATATACATGTAAATTTCTTGTTGTTCTGACTTTCTTTAACATACATTTCAATTTCTTCATCGTACTAGCTGTCGGGTTTCTTAAATCGGCTCTGGTTGCAATTGCATTCCGATTGCAAATACAATTTTTTTCAGCCGAGTAAAGTTCAAATCTTTGGAATTAACTAAATTATATCAGCAATTATTTACTTCATTTTTTCATAAAAAAAATCGATCCTGTTTATAAATTTTTAAATTTAACGAACTAATTTATTCAAATTATTGTAGACAAAAATGCAACCATGTGCCACAACCACATGTTTTTCGTGTTTGCAAATTCTTGCTGGCAAAATTTTTTACAGCAGGAATTTGCAACTTCTCTCCAAGAGAATGTCACTTTCCTCTCACAATTTTTGAGTGTTGGATAATTTTTTGGTCTGCACGAACGTGATTTGGGCAAAAA